TCTCTACAGTCTCTTCCCCACCCTGAACCCTCCCTCTGCTCCTGTGGAATTTTTCACCCTTCAAACTCGGACAAAATGCCACCCACCGGTTCGTACGTGGCCGATGGGGAGAAGTCAGAGAACCTATTGGCCAGCTACACTCTCTATTACTTATGCGTAAAGCACCACCCATTCCACATCCCACCAAGCAGCACAGTCCTCAATGCACACTGAGACCTCATGAGACGAGGGTTTCCAACTCCCAGCTGGGAAATGCCTGGAGGCTTGGGAAAGGGAAGGACCTTCAGTGGGGTGTACCATAGAATCCGCCCTCCAAAGCAATCATTTCCTCCAGGGGAACTGACCTCTGTAATCAGGACATCAGCAGTAATTCTGGGAGGTCTCCAGGCCTCACCTGGAGGTTGGCAAGCCTGCATGAGACTCATGCATAGATTTTTTTTTTTTTAAAGTGCTTCTGACTATTCCGCTATTGAGACTTGGGTCTTCCTGGTTACTTTTGACCCCATTTCCCCCCTTGCCAGCAGGTTAAAGCAACATGTAATGATGATGGGTGTTCCCAGTAGTCATGTATGGCTGCAAGAGTTGGACCATAAGGAAGGCCGAGCGCCAAAGAATAGATTCTTCTGAACTATGATGCTGGAGAAGATTCTTGAGAGTCCCCTGGACTGCAAGGAGATCAAATCAGTCAGTCCTAAAAGAAATCAACCCTGACTGTTCCCTGGAAGGCCAGATACTGAAGATGAAGCTCAAATACTTTGGCCACCAAATGAGAAGGGAGCACTCACTGGAGAAGAAGACCCTGAAGACGGGGTCGGCAAAGGATGAGATGGAGATGGTTAGACAGTGTTATTGAGGCAATGAACATGAAATTAAGCAAACTCCAGAACACGACGGAAGACAGGAGGGCCTGGTGTGATGTGGTCCATGAGGTCGCGAAGAGTTGGACTTGACTGTGCAACTGAACAACAACAATGATGATGATGGGAGAGAACAAAGAGATCCAGGACTTCGAGGCAGCTGTGAATGAGCAGGAGTGTGCTCTATCCCAAACAGATGCCCAAGGAGCAAGGTTGATGATGCCCTAACTCCCATCTTATTCCACACAGGGTTGTTGTCTTTTAGCTTCTAAGAGCTGGAAAAAACCTGTGCTGCAAGGACCAATGCAGTCCATAGTTATTATCCCTATAATGCAGGGAAGAGAGAGGATGTGATTGGGAGACAGTGGCTAACGACAGTTCTGCATTATAGTCTGGTATTATTACACCCATGTTTTGGGCTGAGAATGAGAGACAGGGCTTTAGAACATCCCTGCAACATATGGTACTGTCTCCATACTGTGGACAAGGGAAGGAAGCTGGGGGAGAGGATCTTAGGGCAACAGCACAATGTAGACCCAATGCAGTGGTAGTGTTGACGTTAGCACACTCAAGTTCAAATCCCCACTGTGTCACTAAGCTCTCTAGTGATCCTGGGGCAGTCACACAACCTAGCCTCCCACCGGGGAGCGGTGACACAGTGGGTATATCCCACTGTCTTAACATCTGAACTGTGTTAGTTCAAGCCCCGCACTGGTGTGAGCAGCCAGCCTGTTGTCCCCAGCTCATCGTCCACCCAGCGATTTCCGAGTGGCCTACGTGACCCCTCTGTCCTCCGTCCTGCTGCCAAAACAGCCTGTGTATTTGAGTAAGGCTAAGAGAAAGCGACTCTCCCCCACCATCGCCCAGTGAGCTTTGTGGCTGAGTGGGGATTTCAACCTGGGTCTCCTAGTTCTTAGTCCGACAGTCCACGGATGGTGCCAAACTGGGTCTCCTTGCAGGAGTCCGAAATTCTTTCCTCATTGGGCTACCAGCCACCTGAGCATCTCCAGCTGAGAAGGCAGCAGGCATAACCAATGTCTCCTAACTGTGCCGCAGTATTCAGCTCCAAGCCAGCACAATGCGTCTTCTAAATGCATCACAAGCACTGGTTGGAGACGTGAGCTCTGGCATTAGTTAGGACTGCATAGGGCACAGTAGGACTGTATGAGGTAGGTACACCTACCTGGTGTGCAGCTCTTACAGCATTTTCTTTTCTTTGAATTTAAATTAAATGTATTTAATACATTCTACATACCTATCACTCAAAAAAGAAAAAAGAAAAAAGGAGAAGGAAAAAAATTAAAATATTCTGGGGTGTAGAGTAAACTTTAACAGTGAAATTCATAAAAACAGAGACTTACACAATCAGGGGGAATATCAACAGGAAATCAGGGCAGGGAAGGTCAACATTGCATCTCAGGTTTGATCGGAAAACTGTCCCCACACAATATTTTGGAATCTTCCCCATACCACAGGAGAAGGACTTCTTCCTGCACCCTCCTTCCCTGAAACACCTGGGACCTACCAACAAAAAAAAAAAGGGAAAGAACTCCAAATTCACATACAAATTAAAGGGGGAAAGGAAGAAGCCAGAGCAGTGAGCTCACAATCTCAGATTCATATACATTTCACTCCACAAAAAAATAAAAGGAAAAAAAAAATGAAATCTTCTGGGATGTGGAGGAAATTTGAACAGTAAAATTCATAGAGACTTACACAATCAGGGAAAGTATCAACAGGAAATCGGGGCAGGGAAGGTCAACATCCAGACTAGACATTTCCGTGGGCACGGAGCGTGGTTTTCCTACCTCCTCCATGGCAGCCGTAGAATGCCCCCTGACATCCTGTTCTTTGCAGAGAAGGGAGGCAGGAGAATCGTGCTTTGTGGGCGGATCCAATCCAGAGAAGGTATGACAAAGAGAAAAGGTGTTTACACATTTCCTCTAAATAACTGTAAACAGGTCATTTCGTAGAAAAAGAGGTGCAGAAGCTCATTAGCATAATTCATTAGCATAACTTATTTGCATATGCCACACCCACTGACATCACCGGAAGTGTGTCAGAAGGCAACACCCACCGCTCAGGCTCCACTGGACTGTTTTGGATTGCTAGCTATTGGGGGGGGGGGGATGATGCAGATCTGTCCTCGCAGAGGAGGGAGAGCTTGTACCTGAATAAAACTTGGTCTTAAAGGTGCCACTGGCCTGTTTTGGACCAGGGGGGCGGGGGGGAGCTCTGCAACTTAGCTGGCTGCTTCTTGCTCTGACTGAGGGCTGCTGGGAGCAGGGGGTGGGGCTTGTTGCATGTGCCCGCCCCCTGGGCTCTTTACTGTCGGAGCTCCGCTCCTGTGCGCTCCTGCTGGAAATGGCCCCTGACTGTACAGAACAACGAGTTTTGCTAGGTAATAGAAACCACTACCGTGGGTCGCAGTGTTCCCTCTAAGCTGAGTTAGTGTGAGCTAGCTCACAGTTTTTTAGCCTCTGGCTCAGAGATTTTTGTCTTCGCTCAGGAAGGATGGCTCCAGAGCAAACTAATTTATGCAGTAGCCAAATCACTCACTCACAACTTTAATGCCCCAGGAGCTCACAAAGTAGAATTTTTGCTCACAAGACTCTACAGCTTAGAGGGAACATTGCCGTGGGGTTCTGTTTTTTCCTCCCCCCCCCCCTTCCCCTTTTCTTGGATTGTACACATAAACATGAACATTGTTATATTTTCAGGGAATTCTGCCTCTGGGATACCTGAACAATACGGCTCGTTTTAAGGCAGAAAGCGTGCTTACGAATGCTGCTCAGATCCTTGAACAGTTTAAGGTAAATTATAACTCAAAGTGTCCCGCATGCTCACAAATACTTCCAGGGAGGAACAGCTTGACTTTTGTAACTCTTACAGTAGGGAGCACAAAAGTTTTAGACAAATACTTTCCTGGGAGTAAGCTCCACTGAATAGACCTGAGCCGGATTCTGAGTGAGTCCTGTTTGTGAGTGATCGTTTAGGCAGCAAGCCTAAGCTAGTCTACTCTGAGGTAAATCCAGTTTCAGTCGGTGGGGCCTACTCACGGGCAGTGTTCCCTCTAAGCTGAGTTAGTGTGAGCTAGCTCACAGTTTTTTAGCCTCCAGCTCACACATTTCTGTCATAGCTCAGGAAGGAGGGCTCCAGAGCAAACTAATTTATGCAGTAGCCAAATCACTCGCTCACAACTTTAATGCCAGTAGCTCAAAAAGTAGAATTTTTGCTCACAAGACTCTACAGCTTAGAGGGAACATTGGTCACGGGATACTGTTCTTGGGCTTGAACCCTTGGAATGGAAAAAAACCGTCCCCTTAACTGTGATACTGGATTCATTAAAAAAAAAACCACAGCTCAGGGTAGCTTTAACAAAAACTGGCTTGAATTCTTGTAACTGTCTGATTTATTTGTTGATTTTGAGCATGCCTAGAAATGTTCCATGGTAATTGCGGTATTTGTTCTGGGGTAGGGACATTTAAAATTGAAGGATCAACCTCTGGCTAGCCAGTGTGAATCGATGCCAGTGGAAACAGTGCTTTCTTTAATAGAAGGGTAGAATGGGTCCTGAATTCCAGTTTCTCGACTGTGCTGTAAAAGTCTTGTTGAAGAGAATGGGGGCTTGAGTCATACCCAGCTGACAGCACCGGGGCTTATGTTTCCTCATAGTTGAGACGGGCACATTCCTGTTATGATCAGTGTCTCCTCTAAGCTGAGTTACTGTGAGCTAGCTCACAGTTTTTTAACCTCCAGATCACACATTTTTGCCTTAGCTCGGGAAGGAGGGCTCCAGTCCACAGCGAACTAATTGATGCAGTAGCCAAATCACCTGCTCACAGTTTTAATGCCAGTAGCTCACAGTACAATTGTTGCTCACGGGACTCCACAGCTTAGAGGGAGCATTGGTTACGATCAGTACCTGACAAATAAAATCATGCTTGGAAACAGAGCCTCGGGTTGTTCCATGGTTTGTAAACCGATCTGAAACCGCTGTAGCCTATATAACAGGCAAGGGACCTATTAGGATGGCCAGTCTCGGGGATGCTGGGATTCAAACAGTTTCCGGTATGCCCTGGCAGTTCTGTGCTGTAGATCTGTCTCTGTTTTTTGATAGACAGGTCGGAAAGGGCAGCTGCCCCTGGCTATGGATGCGGTTTGGTCCTGGCCATCCTCTCCCGAGACAGCAAATCCGGGTCTCCCTCGGGTATAATTACTGGATTAAATTTTTAAAAATCATTTGACTTGGAAGCACAGAAGCTTTTACGCAGTATCCCCGACCCTCCACGTTTCCCAGTTAAGGGAAAACCAATTGCAAAGATGATCTGACTCCATTGGTAACAACAGAAAGAAATCTTACTTACATAAACAGAAGCACATCTTACACGACATATTCATATAGGCACATTTAACTGACTGTGAACGGATTAACTTCAAAAGGTTAACTTAGAATCACAGAATCACAGAGTCGGGCCGTGCATTCACTGCGAGTGATCTTGCAGGATTCTCAACCCCAGTACTTTTGAACATCTACATGCAGCTTCCGGGAGTGATCACCTGGTCCTCCGGTTCCCAACCTTTTTGGTATGGCGACCCACAAGTCCAAAGTTTACTTGGTGTGGTGACCTATCCAGGGGTGGGCCAAGGTGTTTTTTTTGGCATCCTAGGCGAACGGTGACCTTGTCGCCCATCTAGTTCAACGTTCCCTTTTCTACAGTGGCTGACCAGATGTTTTTGAGAAACCAACAAATGTTGCACAAAGGGGTGCAGCTGTGAACCCCAAGCAAGGTGCATTCCGACACACACCGTCTTTGGACGTGGAAGTTACATTCCACTTTGACCGCTCTCTACGACTTCATTTCTCCCTCTGTCTCTCCCCCCCCCCCCCCCCCCCCGATTATATAAGAAACCCGGTCTAGTAACCATCAGGACAGAACGAAAGAGAATGGTGACCGGCCCAAGGTCACCCAGCAGGCTTCGTGTGGAGGAGGAGTGGGGAATCAAACTCGGTTCTTCAGATTAGAGTCCACCTCTCTTAACCACTGCAGCACAATGGCTCTCTTGAAACAGGGTATTGAAGCAGCAGTTGTCAGGATGCTGGCATTTGCTGCTGCTTCTTCTTTTGGTCTCAAGTTTTATTTATTTTGTTTATTACACGTATTTATGCCCCAACGTTTCAGCAGGCATAAGAGGCTTATCACAAGACTGTGCCACCTGATCAATGTAAGTAGAAACGTTTTTAACCGTCTTCGTTCTCCTTCTCTGGGTATGTTCAGGTGAAGACGGCTCAGAAGAAGAAAACCACGTTGCCGTTTCTGTTCTCGCCGTTCAAGTGAGTCTGCATTTTGCCCCCGTGTCTGCATTTTCTTCTGTGCATTTTTTTAAAAAAAGAAATCTGTCTTTTCTGTCTTCTCTCATATGCCAGTGACAAATGACCAATAAATAAAGTAAAAAGTAAAGGTAAAGGTGCCCTTGCTCGAAAGCCAGTCGAGTCCGACTCTAGGGTTGTGGTGCTCATCTCCGTTTCAAAGCCGAAGAGCCAGCACTGTCCGAAGACGTTTCCGTGGTCATGTGGCCGGCATGTCTAAACACCAAGGCGCACGGAACGCTGTTCCCTTCCCACCGAAGTGGTACCTATTTATCTACTTGCAATTTCTTGCTTTCGAACTGCTAGGTTGGCAGGAGCTGGAACTAGAGACGGGAGCTCACTCCGTCATGCGGCACACTCGGGTCTTGAACTGCTGAACTACTGACCTTCCACAGCCTGCAGTTCAGCGTCTTAACCCCTTGAGCCACCGCAGCTCCTTTAAAGCACCTTTAAAGACTTACAAAATCTGTGGCCGGGTGTGAGCTTTCATGAGTCACGGCTCACTTCTTCATAGACTGATGTGTGCCACAGAGGCTGCAGGCTCAAAACTAAAATCTGCTTATCATAAAAGGCAAATCAGACACGTAGGTGGTATTAAGAAGGTAGAGAGCATATGAAGTGGCAGAGGAGAGAGGTGAGAAATAAAAAAAATCCCAACATATTTGGCACCAGATGGAATAGAAATGTTTCCAAGCAGTATTCAGTGGTTACACATAGTTCTTTGTTTCAAGTTCGTGGTATAAACCTTCTGGCTTCTGCAGCTTGTGGGATGAGACGAGGTTCAGTCATGTTGTCTGTCCCCCCCCTTCCCCCCCGAGAGTTTCAACCTATCATAAGTATTACTAATGTCTTGACTAGCCCGGGCCCATCCTGTATACTCGCAGATGTGGAACCATGTCCCTCCTCTTCCTCTTCCAAATTCTTCCTCCAGAAGGAGGAAGGATTGGTTTTCCGGTGAACCGGACAATATAGGAAAGATTTCCCGCTGTGTCAGATTTTCAGAAGATCTTTTCTGTCTGACTCTTCTAAACGCAGCAGTGTTTTTTGCAACCACAGAATGGCATGTGGATGGAAGTGAACAGGCCAAGAAAATGCACACAAATCTACCTGCAGTCCATAAAGTAACAAAATCAAAATACAGTGGGGAAACCTTCCAGTGTCGGCTAAGCTAGAAAAAAAATCTGGAAACACTGTTGCCATCAACAATTAATGAAGCCGATCATACAAGGAATGAAATGTGTGGAGGACGGTGTACAGGATAGTGTATCTTAATATATTCATTATATAATTGTTACAGTGGTTTCAAATTGTCATTGACTGTGACTTGAAATCAATGGCCCCTTTACCACAGGCTTGAGTAAGAATTGAATGTTATTTGAAATGATCAGATAGAGGTTTTTTAATAAGGATTTATTCGGTGGGAAGGTAACAGCGTTCCGTGCGCCTTGGTGTTTAGTCATGCCGGCCACATGACCACAGAAACGTCTTCGGACAGCGCTGGCTCTTTGGCTGTGAAACGGAGATGAGCACCGCAACCCTAGATTCGGACTCGACTGGCTTTTGAGCAAGGGAACCTTTTCCTTTTTAAATGAGCTAGGGGAAATCCTACTGTAAACTCCAAAGGCTCTTTCAGTGCCCTTAAAAAATGAGAGAGCGAGAGCGCGCAACGAGCATGCATAGCAGTGTTTCATGGGTCCTGGCTCAGCCTCGGCTGACTATTCCTCAGACAAAGAAGAGGCACGGAGCAACCCAGCCTCCGCCGGAGTCAGCCCAGGAGAGGAACCTTTGTCAATACTACAGGGAGAAGAGGTCCCAGGAGCTGTGCAGGAGGGGCAGCAAGGCAAAGAGACTGAGGTGCAGTCAGAGAAAGAGAGCCCAGTCCAGAGCCTGGCCCAGCACCCCCAGGTGGAGACACCTCGAGGCCAGAGTCCCCACCTGGCTCACCTGAGTGTCCCAGGCGCAGGGCACGCCAGGGTCTGGAGGTGCAGGAGAGAAGGAGGAGTGCCAGGATTCAGCTGTTGCAAAGGCAACATGGGGGGCTGTGAGTCTTTGCAGGTTGCCTCCCAGGGAAGGGAGGATCCGGTCACAAGTAGCCACGCTCACCTGTCTCGGTGCGGATGCAGCTGTGCAGTCTCGGACCTTGTTCCGGCTGCCAGCCTCTGCTCATCACTCCTGAGAACTGCGACCGATCTCCTAGCATTCTGACCCTCAACTCTGTTTCTCGGCTTGCTTCTGGACTTTTGTACCTAGCTTAGTGCTTAGTATCTCGTCTTCATGGCGACTGGCCAGAGCCAGCACTCGTTGTGGGTTGTCCCATCGGAGTTTTTAGAATGTGATCTTCTTATGCTGATTTAAAAGGAGGAAAACAGAGCTGGCAGAGATCAGGTCTTCTGCCAGGAGCGACAGGCAGGGAATAGCTGGCCAGGCAGAACCCCCTTGGGATTTTTCCGCTTGGTTCATTTTGATCACAAGACTTGCTATCTCGGCTGTCAAAACCGGGATCATGAATGATGCGGTGGAAATATTAATGTTGTCAGGTGTACGCCCAGCGAGAGTCGGTAGCATCTCATAAGGGACAATTTATAAACCTCTGCACAATTAGCCCTAATGTATAGTTACATAATTAATTGTTCTTGCGCACGAATGGTGCTATGTATATTATTGGGAACTAAAGAGCTTTGATTGTATTCTTGTGGGGCTTGTTTAGTGAGCCATGGTGATCCTAGAGGCTGTAATAGGAGACTTTTCGGTCTTCTCGGTATTACATGAACGCAGTCCCCTGTAAGGTCTTGTTAGCTTGAGTTTGGACCTCCCAGTTGCATTCACAACAGTCACAGGTAATGCAGATTTATATGCCGAGTGTGACAGAGGGCTAGCCTCTGGGAACGTGCAAAGATCCCCGCATTCAGTCTCTTCTGTCCCCAGCCAAGGGCCAAACCTTTTCTTAAAGCCATAGATTGCTGTCATCTGAGTTTCCGGCACATGGAGAATCTTTCTCTTGCTCTTAGGTAGAGTTGCCAGTTCTGGGTGGGGAATTATCTAGAGATTTTGGAGGCGGAGCCTGGGGAGGGCGGGGTTTGGGGAGGGGAGGAACCTCAGCAGGGTATGATGCCGTAGAGCCCACCCTCCAAAGCAGCCATTTTCTGATCTCTTTCATCGGGAGATCAGTTGTAATAGCAGGAGGTCTCCAGGCCTTGCCTGGAGGTTGGCATCCCGACTCTTAGGGCACCCAGTTTTTCCCCTCTGTGTCCCTCTATACAACCTAATGTTAACAGGAAAACAACCTGGTAGATAGGTCAAGATGGGTAGCCATGTTAGTCACTCTGTAGCAGCAGAAACGAGCAAGAGTCCAGTAGCATCTTTAAAGTAAAGGTAAAGGTTCCCTTGCTCAAAACCCAGTCGAATCTGACTCTAGGGTTGCGGTGCTCATCTCCGTTTCCAAGCCGAAGACCCAGCGCTGTCCGAAGACGTTTCCGTGGTCATGGGGCCGTCATGACTAAACACCAAGGCACACGGAACGCTGTTCCCTTCCCACCGAAGTGGTACCTATTTATCTACTTGCAATTTCTTGCTTTCGAACTGCTAGGTTGGCAGGAGCTGGAACTAGATTCTTGCTTTCGAACTGCTAGGTTGGCAGGAGCTGGTACTAGAGACGGGAGCTCACTCCGTCATGCGGCACACTCGGGTCTTGAACTGCTGAACTACTGACCTTCCACAGCCTGCAGTTCAACGTCTTAACCACTTGAGCCACCGCAGCTCCTTTAAAGCACCTTTAAAGACTTACAAAATCTGTGGCCGGGTGTGAGCTTTTGTGAGTCACGGCTCACTTCTTCATAGACTGATGTGTGCCACAGAGGCTGCAGGCTCAAAACTAAAATCTGCTTATCATAAAAGGCAAATCAGACACGTAGGTGGTATTTAGAAGGTAGAGAGCATATGAAGTGGCAGAGGAGAGAGGTGAGAAATTTAAAAAATCCCAACATATTTGGCACCAGATGGAATAGAAATGTTTCCAAGCAGTGTTCAGTGGTTACCCATACTTCTTTGTTTCAAGTTCGTGGTATAAACCTTCTGGCTTCTCCAGCTTGTGGGATGAGATGAGGTTCAGTCGTGTTGTCTATCCCCCCTTCCCCCCCCCCAAGAGTTTCAACCTATCACTAGTATTACTAATGGATCTCACATCATTTCCAATAACCAACTTAGTTTCATCTTTCCAGTCTTTAACTCGTAAGAGAACCAAATCTAACTGTTTCAGACACATTGGGTGTGGTCAGACGGCGTGCTGAGAGCGGGTTAAACGGCTCCGGTTCTAACAGGATTATATTTCATCTGGATATTTGCGATCACACTTACCTACCCTTATTCCGCTTTACTGTGCAGTCGCAGCACTCCCCGCTGTCTACACTACCAGCGCACGGGAGCATGTGTCGGCATTTTCCCCCCTTTTCTCAGTTTGCGCATGCGCATAGGCACCCCTCTGTAGAAGGGGGGGAAACTATCATGGCGCATATGCAGAACCACCAGGGCGAATCAATTCAACCCCTCCCACAAAAGACTTCCCTTTAAATGTTTGACTCAAAAATGGCCTCCGTGAGATCCCGAATTCATATAAACGCTAAAACAATGTCGGTTTAAATGTTGGTTTTCTAAACACGGTGCCGGAGCTCCGCCTATGTGCACACCGCCAACGCATTAAAAAAAACGGCAGGCGAAAAGTGGAAGCCTCGGGCAGCTTTCGAGCGGGGAGAGGGTTTAAACCGGAAGTGGCTTGACACCGGAAGTGGCTTGACACCGGAGGAGCGATCACACAGGGGGGAAATGCGGCTTTAAACGGGAGAGCTGAGAAAACACCACTTTGGGACCTGGTAACAAAATACTCCGGGTTAAAGCGGTTTTGAGCCGGAAACCAATGATTGGGGACGGGAGGCAGATGTTGACTGTGTGGTCGTGCAGATAAAATCCATTGCTGAACCATCACGACACCAGATCAAATGGCGCATCTGAACGCACCCATTCAGGTCTTACCTCTTTCAGTAGGTCAGTAAGCGCATCTTCTAGCTAGTGAAAGATGATACTAAGCAGCCAGTCACAAAGAATAATCCAACCAAGCGTAACACATTCAGTGGCCTATCAACTAAACTAGAAAAGGCACTCGATATCGTCATGTGTAGGGTGTTAGCCTTATTTATTTAATTTTATTTAAAATGTTTATTTCCTGCCTGATCTTCTTGGCTTTAAGGAGGCTTTTGGGCCTAGTTCCAAAGTAAGGTTTTGAAGTTCTTTGACTACACTGGGAATGGCAATTTAAAAAAAAAGAAAATAATAAAACATCCCCCCCCCATACTTCAGTTCGTTGTTTTGTGACACCTCTCCTTCAAAAATGATATCATCTAAAGTCCTATCTTTATGTGGCCTGCTTCCCCACAACTCTCCTTTTCTCTACAGTTCTCCTCAGACTTAGTGGCTTTCGCCTGAGGCTTTAATTTTGGCCATAAATCTCTTTGCTTTCTCTGTTGCTCTGGATGTTAAAAGCACCCGAGGGGCCATCTTCCCAGTGAAAAATATCCTGCAGGCTTTTTTATTTTGTTTTGTAAATGTGCTTCTTGTGAGACAATGATTGGTGGAAAGCAGAGCTTTAAAAATTAAGAATGGCCTGATACTAAATAGCTGGGGGGTGGGGGATTTAAAGTCTGCCCACAGTTACTTCTCCTTTCTTGCAAATTGAAATAAAACTGGTATTTTAACCTGTATCTCCTCGTATCCTTTTTATACAGGTCTCTTTCTGATTCAGAACAAATAGACTTTCTCAGAAAGGCAAGGACTGCTATTCAGCATGAAAAATACGAGGAAGCGGTAAGTGAATTTGTCAGAGGGACACTTAATATCCCATTGTCAGCCCCGTGCAGGTTCTCGCTACAGAGTCTTCAAGGTCAGTATCAATGTTCCCTCTAAGCTGTGGGGTCTTGTGAGCAAAAATTCTACTTTGTGAGCTCCTGGCATTAAAGTTGTGAGCGAGCGATTTGGCTCCTGCATAAATTAGTTTGCTCTGGAGCCCTCCTTCCTGAGCTCAGACAAAAATATGTGAGCCAGAGGCTAAAAAACTGTGAACTAGCTCACACTCACTCAGCTTAGAGGGAACACTGGACTCAGTATTGTCAACTCTGACTGGCAAAAGCTCTCTAGGATCTCAGGCAAAGCTTTTTCCACATCCCCTACGACCAGTCCTTTTTAGCTGGAAATGCCAGCAATTGGACCTGGGAACTTTCGCATGCGAGGCAGATGCTCTGCCACTGAACCATAGCACCCACCTCTCTTAGTTTTCTGTATGCCATTTGAACTAGCTGTGCAACACTTTATAGCTTATACACTTTATAGCTTATAGTGATTTCAGCCTTTCCTCTATTTCTGTTGCCTTCACTGCTGGGAGTAGTTCACATGCTACTGGGCTCAGTTAAAGGTACTGGCTGTCACATACAAAGTCCTTCATGGCCTTGTCTCCTCTTATTTGGGTGGACCGCTGCTCTCCCTACATTCCGCCACAGCGACTTTGCTCAAGTCAGCAGGGGCTTCTGCAGGTGCCGGCATGCAAACGGGCATGCTCAGGTCTTCAGGTCTTTCTGATGGTTCCAGACTGCTAAAATCCAAATGCACTGGTTACTGCATGTTCCATTCTGTCGATTGTACTATCTCCCTACTTGTAATTTTTTTAAAAATTATTTATTTAAGCATTTATATCCTGCCCTCCCCGTAAGCGGGCTCAGGGCGGCTTACAAAGAGCAACAAGTGCCCACACATAAAAACAGTAAAACCAGTAATTATCAACACAAATAAGGTGCTCAGTAAGAAACAAGATGGTCACCGAATAAAATTACAAGATAGTTATCAGTCTTTCATCAAGGTGGTGTTGTCCTGTAGTTGACGTACAACCAGTTGGTATACGGCGCCACGCAGTATCCTGGCAGATCTTCCAGGGACCCTCCCCCCTAGCCCCGTTGTTACCCACGCCGTTTGTGGTGGTGGCAGCAGTGGCAGCGGCGGCCCCTACATAAAAGCCTGGCGGAAGAGCTCCGTCTTACAGGCCTGCGGAACTGCAGAAGGTCCCACAGGGCCCTGATCTCCTCCGGGAGCTCGTTCCACCAGGTAGGAGCCGCCACTGAAAAGGATCTGACCCTGGTCGTGGCAAGCCTTGCCTCCCTGGGGCCTGGAATCACCAGGCGATGTTGCGTCCCAGACTGAAGTGCTCATGGGGGTATGTGTGGGAAAAGGCGGTCCCTCAGGTAGGTTGGACCCTGGCCATATAGGGCTTTAAAGGTAAGAACCAGCACTTTGAAATAGATCCGGTACACTATTGGCAGCCAGTGCAGCGCTTTCAGCCCAGGCTGGATGTGCTCCCACTTGGAGAGACCCATCAACAGCCTGGCCGCCGCATTCTGCACTAACTGCAGCTTCCGGATCTGCGACAAAGGCAGCCCCATGTAGAGAGCGTTACAGTAGTCTAACCTCGAGGTGACCGTC